GGAATTCCTGCCTGGAATTGAAGAGGGAATTCCTGCCTGGAATTGAAGAGGGAATTCCTGACTGGAATTGAAGAGGGAATTCCTGCCTGGAATTGAATTCCTGCCTGGAATTGAAGAGGGAATTCCTGCCTGGAAAAGCAGCTGGATCACTTTCTCCTGGAGCAGGGAGCAGGGCAGCTGCTGCTGAGCTCAGGGAATTGCTCCCCTCCATCAGCCCAAGCCTGAGGACACGGAGCAGCTCTTCCCACCCAGGGCTCATCCTGGGACACACAAACCCAGCAGGAATGGAGCTGGCAGCCCAGAAAAACCTGGAGACAGGCACTGGGGAATATCAGGGAGGATGAAGTGGGAAGTGAGGTGGGAACAGCAGAAGCAAAGGGTCACACACTAAAAGGATTTCCCAGAACGAATGAGAAAAGTGCAGAACACAGGGCTGTTCCAATGGCAGTGGAATTTAAATTCAGCATTTCAGGCTGCTCTCCTGCCAGGTGAATATTCCCTCCCACACGAGCTAACCTCTCACCTGGATTCTGCTGCATCCTGACACCCTACAAAGCCAGGGCATGCAAATAAAAGCTGAAGAGGTTTCAAAATCCATTTTAAGACTGCTCCTCCACACTGGAACTTCAGCATGGTCAGTTCACTCTGGACCATTTACTCATGCAATTTTCTTTTTAATACATAACATCTAAAAAAAGTGACTACAGCCATCACAAATGAATCTCCACCCATCTCCCTTGCTCCTTTTTCTGTGTGTTTCAATGCACCTGGTGTTGAAAAATGTCATAAACCCCAGGCTTATCTGAACAGGTTCCTTCTGCCCATAGAATCGTATTTCTACCTTTTTACCAAAGCATTTCATTATAGAATGAAAAAATAACAGTGATAATTCACTATCAACTGCAAGAATATTCCTGGGAGAGGGAATTTCATCTGAGCCAATCTTGGGCAAATGGGGATGGAATGAGATTACAGAAGATAAAGAGCTGAGCTTCTGCTTTAAGGCAATTTCTTCCCCAGAAACTCTCCCTCCTCCTCCCAAACACTCCCTGTGCACTTCCAGCTTCCCAATCCCATTCAGTTCCCAGAGAACCCAGACCAGGTTGGACCAGCCTTGTTTTGGGAACACAGAGCCAGCCCCGTGCAGGTTTCTCGAGGAGGAAGTGGTGAGGAAATGCTAATTAATGAGTTATTATTAATGAGTTATGATGCCACCTCTCCACCCAGCAAACTCCCAGCAGCTTCAGAGCACAGCTCCATCCCAAAGGGCTCCCCAGGGCTGGAGCATCCCATCAGCAGGAGGAGCAGGAAGGGATGCAGGCAGCAGCAGTGCAGAGGGATGGAGCACAGGGCTGAGTGGCTGCAGGCACAGAGAGCAGCAGAGCTGTCCCCAAACCCACCAGGACACACATTTCTCATGTCCCTGACCCACCAGGACACACATTTCTCATGTCCCCAAACCCACCAGGACACACATTTCTCATGTCCCCAAACCCACCAGGACACACATTTCTCATGTCCCTGACCCCACCAGGACACACATTTCTCATGTCCCTGACCCCACCAGGACACACATTTCTCATGTCCCTGACCCCACCAGGACACACATTTCTCATGGAACACCCCACACTCCCATTTCTCTCTACCCCCACGCCGTGAGAGACTGAACAGCCACGAGCCAGGGGCTCTCCAGTTTGAAGGAGCAGGTGAAATGAGGTGTGGAACAGAGGTGTGTACCCCAGCAGGTAACTCCTGCCTGCTGCAGGACCTGGTCTGACCTGATCTGTCACTGCCACAGCCGTGCTGGAGCCCCAGGGACCTGCAAGGCTCTGCACACACGAGGGATTCACGGAGTTAATTCCTGCTCACACAGAATTCAGAAGGGCCTGCAGCATGCAGCTCACAGATCTAAGCAGGAAAATGCCTTCTGTTTGTTTAAGGAAGGAGAAAACACACAGGATAACTGAGAGCACTCCGACTCCATCCAGGTTTGTTAATTCCCATTTCCACCTCAGTTTGTCACCATTTCTTATCCAAACACCCCTAAACTCCAGAGCTGCCTGCAATGTTCCTGGGTGTGGCAGAGGAACAGGGCTTGGTTTGGGGCTGGGTGGTGGAAGGGAGATGAAAAGAAATAGAGAAACGAATATATTTATAATTGGTCAGGAATTCTCCACTGCACCACAGTCCACAGAAAACACCTGTGGAGTTACAGCCAGAAACTGCATGAGAAAGAAAATGCCACCATCAGTGACTGATTCTCCCAGAAAGGCCCCAATCCTGAAAAACCAGCACCCAACAAGCCAAAAGCTCTGAAATCAGGGAGCAATCCCAGCAGCCCAGCTCTGCAGTTGTCAGCACAACCAACAGCTCCCCCAGCCCAGGGTGGGCACTGGAACCACTCCTGGGCACCATCACAGAACCACAGAACCACGGCCACTGCCCCAGGCTGAGCCACTGCCAGGGCTGGGGGAGCCAGGGAATGGCTCCACTGGGAAAGGGGAGATTGGGCTGGGATCTTGGCAAGGAATTCCTGCCTGGGCTGCAATTCCCAGATTTGCTGGGGCTGATCCCTGGATCCCTGGGAATGCCCAAGGCCAGGTTGGACACTGGGATTGGATCTGGGACAGTGGGAGCTGACCCTGCCATG